AGTCTAGACATCAGCATCGTTCTTACAAACAACTTCTTTAGAGTCCTGTCTCAGCATGCAGTGTCTACAGCATTGCCACTCGTTTGCTAACTAGCTCCTCTTAATCACCATACTTGGAACTGACAGTGGATCCTATCTGTGAGTTCAAAGCCTCTTCAGATGCACCCGACGTTGTCCATATGGAAATCCTGTTTTCAATCCATCCACTGTCACAGGAGAGAGCGGTACTGCTCTGTCACCAAGGCAGCTGCATCCTACCCCCCTCCTCTCCTTCTCTCTCCGGCTGGGAGTTGGGCTAATTATTCTACTCTTCTCAGTTCAGCCTGTTCACAGACGACTCCTTCACTTCATAAAGCTCTCCATCACCGAGATCTGTGTGTCCCTGTCTAGTTCTCGCGCTCCCACCCTTCCTCACTAGCTCCTCTTTTTCTGTGTGGAGATGTTAGACTCAGTCCGGCCTTCCTCTGTTTACCCTCCCCCTCCAGCCCTCCCTCTATTCCGTCTTCTCTCTCTGTCCTGCCTCTCTCCCCATCTGTTAGGACTGGTATTTTGACAGAGTGGGAGCTGGTACGGGACTCTCTGGCTTGTAGGTGGGCACAGATCTGCTCTGGACAGTTTGCTACAGCATAGAATGCACTTCTGATTTCTGAACTTTTTGCTATAAAATGGCTAATTACATAGGATTAGCTAACATAACATTGTGTATGTGCTTCAAAAGTTTGGGGTAAAATTTTTAAAGTGTTTTTGAAAGAAGTCTTATGCTCACCCAGGCTACATTGATTGCTTAAAAAAATTTGCAATCTAATAATAATTTTAGTAACAAAAATATTTTGATGCATTACTACAATTTCAAATAACTGTTTTCCTTTTTAATATATTTTAAAATGTCATTTATTCCTGTGATGGCAAATCAGCAGCCATTTCTCCAGTCTTCAGTGTCACATGAATTTCAGAAATCATTCTAAGCTAATTTGGTGCTCAGGAAATAATTTTGAAAACAGCTGCTGCTTAATATTTTTGTGAAAACCACAATATATTTTTACAATTACTTGATAATTAGAAATTTCGAAAGAGCAGTAATTTCTTGTCTTTACTGTCACTTTTGCACAAATTAATGCCTCTTTCCTGAATAAATGGGGCTGAATAAAAAGTTTTTCTTTCACGGGGGATGGGAATTATTTTTGGCAGTGGCTATTTGCACTAAGTGTAAATAGTGATAGATGCTATTTATACTAAGTGTAAATAGCAATTAGATTCCATTTACACTAAGTGCAAATAGCATATTTTCTTAGCGATAGATGCTATTTACACTAAGTGAAAATAGCAGTATTTTTAACGATATGCTATTTACAATAAGTGCAAATAGCTATAGATTCTATTTACACTATGTTAAAGGGGTCATATGATGCAATTTCAAGTTTTCCTTTCTCGTTGGAGTGTTACAAGCTGTTTGTGAATAGATAAGATCCCTAAAGTAGCAAAGACTAAAGTCTCAAACCCAAAGAGATATTCTTAATAAAAGTTAAGACTCGTCCACGCCCTCCTAAAATGCCTCGTTTAAACACGCCCCCACATGTCTACGTCACTGTGTGGGAAGATTTGCATAACACCGCCCAAATGTTCACACAAAGAAAGAAGGCGTAACTTTTATTCTCGCTGTAGTATTGTTGCCGCCGCCATGTCGTGAAGACGCTGTGTGTTTCGTTATGAAAGAGAAACTACTTTGTTTGGTCTTCCAAAAGAGGACACAACTAGAAATCAGTGGTTAAGTTGTATTTACAACACCGTTCCAGAACAGTTCAACCCAAATATTCAGATGTGTGCAGCGCATTTTGCGGAGGATGAGGACTGTTTCCTGGGAGAGTAACCTACAAAGCCGGCTGTTTCTATAAAGTGGGGCAATTCCAACTTTGCAAGGAATGTACAGTATGTGGAAAATAATGTGTTTTTTTTACCTTAAACCGCATAAACACATTGCATTACACCAAATACACAAAATAATGTTCTTTTTAGCAACGTCATATGACCCCTTTAAAACAGCAAGATTTTCTGCTATTTACTACTTATTGCAAATAGTAGCAATTATCTGCACCTCAGTACTGTAGTACATTATAAAACAGTACGCAATAATAATAATGTATTGAGTGTAAATTATCATTTTAATTCAAATTATTAAATGGATGCCACCTTATTGGGACAATAAAGCTCTCCCTACACCTACCCGAAACTTTATTTTCAACTTGAATATTTCCTTCATTTTGATTGAAAATAAACGCCTTTCCGATGCGATATGAGATTTGAAAAGGGAGAAAAAAAAAGTTAGGCAAAAGGCGGGTTCGAACTCGGGTCGATTGCGTCAAAAAGCACACGCCTTACCATCTACTACGCCACTGAAACTGACTGAATGAGTGTCTTTTTTCAGTGTTGACTATTCCAATCAGACGTTGGTGGGCGGAGTTAGTGTAAATAGCCTCTGCCAACAAGGCGGGCTATTTGCACTTAGTGCAAATAGACACTCCAATTATTTTTTGCCCATATTAGCCAATACTATTTAATTATGGCAATATAGATGTGCACTTAAACTTTTTTACATATTGTTTTACTAAAAATTCACACAGTATTTGAGAAAATTTGTGTATTGTCCATTGATTGGGCTGCTGGTAGATTTTGTAAATGGTTCACAGGAGAGCAGACACAGATCAGCGTAGCTCATATATTTGTCTGTCACTACTCTTTATTAAATAGAACTGTGAAAAGATAATGGAATAGTACTGTGGTAAAGTGAACAGAATATGATCGTGACATTGTGTAACGAGTGTCACTCACGTAAGCTCATGTCAAGAGCCAGAACATTACCACTGCAACACCTCCTGAGAGAAAGGAAATCTAAAATGATCTCTGCAGAAACCAATAAAAGTATGCACAATGCAAGCAAAAAGCTGTCAATTATGGCAGAAAAATCTGTTCTATGCAGATGGACTGCAGAGGTATCAGAAATACCAACCTCATAAGAAAATAAAGAAGCTGAGAACCACTATTTTGATATTTTCAGTGGTTCTCCTTACAATCTACAACCCTAATTCCAGAAAAGTTGGGACGTTTTGTAAAATGCAATAAAATCAAGAATCTGTGATTTGTTCATTCTCTTTAACTTTTATTTAATTGACAAAAGTACAAAGAAAAGATTTCCAGATGGCTCATCAGTCATCACTTTGTGCCAAATTTCATGAGAGGAGTGTCAAACAAGTCAAAAATCACATTTCGCAATGCAAAATTGCAAAGAATTTAGCTCTTTCACCAACTACCACATGTAATATTGTAAAAAGATTCAGGGAATCCAGAGAAATCACAGTACATGTAGGGCAAGGCAGGAAACCTCAGTTGAATGTGCATGGCCTTTGAGCCCTCAGATGGCATTGCATAAGAAACCATCATGCTGCATTAAATATAGCCACATGGGCTCAGGAGTACTTCAGAAAACTGCTGTCACTTAACACAGCCTGCTGCTGCATCGAGAAATGCAACTTGAATCTCTGTGATGCTGCCGGGTTGTCTGGGCCAGAGATCATCTCAGATAGTCAAAAAGACGGTGGAAATGTGTGCTGTGTTCAGATGAGTCCACATTTAAAAAAATGGATTTCGAGTTCTCAGTCCCAAAGACCAAAGGGACCATCCAGACTTTCATCAGCGACAGAAGCAAAAACAAACGTCTGTCATGGTAAAGAAATATATTGCCATCAATGATGTCTTTAATGGGAAGTCCATGGTTATTAGATCAAGACAATGACAGCTCTCATTCTGCATGTGCTACAACAGCGTGGTTTCGTAGACTCAGGGTGAATGTGCTAAACTGGCCTACCTGCAGTCCAGATCTGTCTCCAATTAAAAATGTATGACCAGTCATGAAAAGGAGAATCACAGACTGCTGAGCATCTGAAGTCTTTTATCAAGCGAGATTAGACAAAAATTTAGCTTGAAAAACTTTAACACTTAGTATCCTCAATTCCCAAACAATAAAACATTGTAATTAAAAGGAACGTTGTTGATGTGACACAGTGTTAAACATGCCTCTGTCCCAACTTTTTTGGAGTGTGTTGCAGCCATCAAAATCAAAATGTGTTTATATTTACAAAGTAAAAATTAAGTTGGTCAGTGAAAACATTGGAAATTTTTCTTTGCACTTCAGTCAATTAAATAAAGATTAAAGAGAATGAACAGATAACATATTCTTGATTTTATGGCATTTCACAAAACGTCCCAACTTTTCTGGAATTGGGGTTGTATATATTAAATGGTCAATAACAAAATCTGAACGATTTATTAAAGCATTTGAGTGTAAGCATTACCCAAATGTAGCCTACAGGGCAGTGAGCTATCCAGATTTGTCAAGTTATCACTGATCAAGTGCCTCTTAACAAGTCACTGACCTGACAATGTCCTAGAATGGTTTCTTACATAACACTTTTAAAGACATTTACATACATCTCCAAAACCAGAATTAATGACTAAGTGTACAAATGATGTTCTTTTGGATAATCAGGTACTGAATCAGCTCCTCCAGATAAAATCATAGCTGATGTCTCACATAAAAGAACAGTCACACATTTTCTGGTTTTAAGTGGCAAAGCATGATGATGCCTTAAAGAAAGCCTGTGGGCAGGAACATCTCAGGCCTTACAAAACAAGCAGTGAGAAAATCCTTGTGACAGCCTCCTCCAGCCTATCTATGTGTTCTCCTCTCATAAAAGCAGAAAGAATAAACAAGAGGGGTTGTGATAACATGTTTGTGTATATTTTGTAACTACGAGATGAGAATGCTGGGAAGCTGGTTGGTTCCAAGAGGTGTTTTACAAAACTGAAGCAAATTATTTACACATGAATATATTCTCAACTTACAGGCTTATAACTACATCAGCGTCTTTTTGTCTATTTATGTGCATTTTCACTAATGTTTTGTTTAAATATTGATTGATTATTAGATCTTAAATATTAGTATTTACCAAGTAGATCTTGCTCCCGTCTCCTCTTCAAATGTCCCTTTCTGTCCCTCATACTGTTGAACCAATGCTCGGACACTCCAGCAGGGGTTCTCACTGTCCTCCTCGCCACTGCAGCCATGACTAAGAGCAAAAAATACAGTGAGATTAGAAACTGTAAAAAGCTGTTTCAAGTATGGATGATCTTTTCATTTGTAAACTAAACAACTCTCTCTGAATATATATTTTTAATAATTTTGCACTGTTTCAGACTCATGCAAACCATTTTCAAAGCTCCAACAGAGCACATTAAAGATTATTGCTAGGGGTGACATCAAATCTTAAGTTGTAGATGTAACATATGTTTAGATCTGTAGATCTGATTATCCATATGCTACCTCTGAACTGAGCTGCAATTCCTAATTACAGCAGCAAGAGGGCAATGATTCATCCGTTGTATTTTATCATCGTTTACCGCATGTCACTTCATTTCTTCTTTGAAACACAAAAGGAGAACTACTAGCACTAATATTTCAAGTCAAACAGACCGGAATTTATGTTTTCACTGATAACATTTCACCGGTTTTGTGAACTGAATCAACTGATTCTTAAGAAAGATCAGACTTATAGGGTTAATTCACCCAAAAATGAAAATTAGCCCATGTTTTGACGGCTTCCTGTAGCGAAGTGATGCGTTTTTGTAAGAAGAATATTCATAATGTTAAATGTTATAAATACTTTCCTCTCACTTCCGCTGACTGTCATACCTGCAAGCCGTTCCAGCGGATGATGTACAGTAGGACGTATGCGTCGCGCACGCACCGGTGAGATATGCAAGTCTTGCGAGTTTGTTTACAGGAGCAAAGGAAGCAAAGTTTCCTTACTTTAACAAAGGAAAACCAGTCTCCTCCTGGCTTACATCAAAATCCTCCTACATTTTTCTTTACAAATCCTCGTTTTGTGCTTCTAAGTCGTTCTAATTCCGCGTTAGTCACTAATCATTGGCGCGTGCGTGACGCATACGTCCTACATCAGCCGCTGGAACGGCTTGCACATATCATAGTCGGCGGAAGTGAGAAAAAATGTATTTATAACATTTTAAATATGGATATTTTTCTTACAAAAACGCATCAATTCTCTACAGGAGGCCTTTATTCACGCCCCCGGAGCCGCGTGAGGCACGTTTTTTTATAGATGCGCGTGCTTTATTTGACTACTTTTGGACTGTTGAACAAAAACACCCGCCTACTCCCATTCTAATGCTTAAAAGGGCAAGGATAATTTTTAATATAACTCCCATTAGATTCATCTGAAAGAAGAAAGTCATAATACACCTAGGATGCTTTGAGTGTGAGTAAAACATGGGCTAATTTTCATTTATGGGTGAACTAACCCTTTAAAAAGACAAATTGTTCATAAACTGGACATGGTTATTTCTCTCATGAACTTTCATGAAATCACCACTAAATAATGAATTCAACTCCAGCCTGTTTCTCATACAAAGTTATCTAACCACATAAGGGTCAGTAAAATGTAAATGACAAATTTTCTTAAGTTAATTAACCAATTAATAATTAATAACCTTAATTCTTAAGTTAATGGACCATCTTAAAGGGATAGTTCACCCAAAAATGAAAAGTACCCCATGATTTACTTACCCTCAAGCCATCTTAGGTGTATATTAGGGGTGGAATGGTTCAACTTACTCACGGTTCATTTTGTATGACGATTTTAGAGTCACGGTTTCGGTACGGTTCGGTATGTGCTATGTTTAGGGAAAAACTATACTATCAAATAAAAATAAAGAAAATAAGAATAATCTATCTAACTACAAGCAACAGCACAAATAAATACAATAGAGTAAAGATACAAATAAAATAAACAGTAATTTTCAGTTTTTTTTAGGTAGGTCTAACATTAGTTTTTAGGTGCAGAAACTGAATAAAATAATGAAATGTAAAACAGCATTGCATATTTGACTGTACAAATTAAATATTAATCTTTATTAAAGTTACAAAAGCTATTCAATCAAGAGCAGTGAGTGATTTCTTTGTTGTTGCTGTTTGATTAATATTAAGAAAGTGCTGTCACTTTAAGAGAATGTACTGATCCAGTGCACTGATACAGTAAGTTCAGCCGGTTATGTCTGTTATAGGATACTTACCAAAACGGGCATTTTGACATAATTTTTGTGTGAATTTGTCCATTTAAACACAATACTTCAGAGAGAGCTTAATATTTGTGCGCGTTCGGAGGCGCGGGTTTACGCGCTTCGGATGAGTGCACGCACAAATTAATCATGTATTGGGAAGCCAGAGTGCGCATCCATCAACAGAAACATACATTAGCTGAACCCTGTTTGTTTTACGTGTTATTCATAACAAACCATATTACAGATGCCTTGTCAGATTTAAGTTGAACCGCGGTCCTAGCGCGTACCGAACCGTGTGTGGAGAACCGTACGGTTCGATTTTTTTCCGCGAACCGCTCCACCCCTAGTGTATATGATGTGTTTCTTTCTGACGAATACAATCAAGAGTTATATTAAAAAAATATCCTGACTCTTCCAAGTAGGCAGTGAATGGGGGTCGAGATTTTGAAGCCCAAAAAACTGCATCCATCAGTGGTGGGCCGTCAGGGCCAGCAAAGCCTTCTCTGCTGGCCTAAACACTATCAGAATCACTGATTTAGTTTTAATATATTTTTCCATGAATGTGTATTAAATTATTTCCAATAGTATTCTCTTCAGTTGACGAAAAGCAGTAAGAGAACATTAAATTGTTAGGTCAACTTTAAAACACATGTAATCACCTTATTTGTTTTATACCAATGCTATCTGTAAGGTATAAATGCGTTTGGGTGAATAAATGTCTGTAAGAACATCGGATGGACTGTATTTGTGTAATTTTGTTAGGTTAATGCTTCAGCTACAGATGATGTGTTGCGCAATTGTTAATTGGGTTTCTTTCTTTAGTAATGGCATTCATTCTCGCTACATAAGATACCTGTCTGTTATGTAGTGCCCTGTTATACTGCATTACTGTGTAATATTTATGTTTTCTATAGCCGTGGCACCATTATGATGGTATGAAGAGATGGATTAATTCATGTAGGACGCCACTGAAGGCCTAGGTGTAAAATGCACGGCCCGCCACTGGCATCCATCCATCATAAAATGTGCTCCACACGGCTCTGGGGGGATAATAAATGTCTTCTGCAGCGAAGCGATGCGTTTGTGTAAGAAAAATATCCATATTTAAAACTTTATAAACAGTAATCTCTAGCTTTAACTGTTGTATGAGAGAGTGGTGCTCCAGTGGATGATGTAGGATGTAGGTGTAGTGAGAATATGCTAGTGAGTAAATCATGGGGTAATTTTCATTTTTGGGTGAAATATCCATATAAAATGAGAAGGAGATTTAAGAACAGCTACTCTATGGAAGCAATTCTACCTAAATTACAAAATTATTTTGAAGGAGGAGAACGAGGTAAAGGGAAGAATGAAGCTACATATACCTCCATTCTTGCCTTAGATGAAAAACGGAGCGGCCAGGCCGAGAGGCATCCTGCCTGGCTGCTGCCAGTGCTGCTGCTGCATTCTGGGCCATGGCCATGGTGGAATGAGGTCTGTGATTGGCCGAGGAGCCAGTGGAACTCCTGCCTACGCCAGCTCCAGCTCTGTGACTGGCCGAAGCGGAGGGTTTAAAATGTGCAGCTAGAGCGAGTATGAGCCTCATGGCAGATTTGAGGTTACCCTCCACAATGTCTTTGAGTACAGAGAGAAAGAAGAGATCTTAAATAAGCAGTTTTATCAGCTTAACCATGATTAAGAGCCTGCTTTGTAACTCACCCCTGGCAGACGTCTGTGGCATTCTGATCCGTTTGGATGATACAAACTGCAGAACCTTCTCCACATTCTGCTTCCTCTCCTGGTCATCACGTGGCACATAATGAATGCCATCCAGCAGCTCACCAGCTTGCCAAATATATAAAACACATCTCAATACAATGGCTTATTATACAGTCCTGCAATAAAAATGGAATATGATGTACAGGCTTACCCACTATCTCAATGAGGTGTGCTAGAACCACACCATCTCTGAGATCCTGCCGTAGATCACTCACAGGTTTCAGTCCAGGCTTCTTTCTCAGCTGTGCATTAACCCAAGACACATAGGCAGCCAGTTGCTGCTAGAAAGACAAACATTTCATAAGGTAAGTGCAAACGTGGTTATAGTCTACAGCTCAAGAGCAGATTGTACTTCTGATTTTTTTGCTTGCAAATATTTTACTGCTTTTATGCTATATTTTACCATGATTGCTTTTATTTGGTCCAAAAAAATAAAAATTACATTTTAAAATAACTGCTTTCTATTTGAATATATTTTAAAATGTAATTTATTCCTGTGATGGCAAAGCTGAATTTTTAGCAGTTATTACTCCAGTCTTCAATGTCACATGATCCTTCAGAAATCATTCTAATATGCTGATTAGGTGCTCAAGAAACATTTCTCATTATCAATGTTAAAACAGTTGTGCTGCTAAATATTTTTCTGGAAACTGTACATTTTATTTCTGGATTCTTTGATGAGTGGAAAATTCAAAAGAACAACACTGAATCAAAGCCATTATGCTTACTTTTGATCAACTGAATGCACCTTTGCTGAATAAAAGTATTTAAAAATCTTACTAATGTCAAACTTACTTTGGAACAGAAGTGTCTATAAATATGCATGTATAGAAAACCAGTTGACCATTATATAACCACAACTTCCACATTTTCCTTGAATTACTGATGCTTCCAAAACTGTCATTTTTGCAATTTAAACAAAACCTCATCTATGCTACAGTATAGGGTTACTTTCCTCAAGCTCAGCCTAAGCACAAATCACAAGTCTCAATGGAGCCAATGTCTCTACGTGCTGTTTTCTTTTGCTATACGTTTGATTGCAACATATAATCATTACTGTGTTAATAGTGTTCGCCGTCTGTTTGATTACATGACATTAACTAACTGCTTGATTTTTATCGTACATTTCTGCCATATGGACATCAATTTGAGATAGTCATCACTGATAAGCTATTACTAAATATAATGTAGAAACTTTAATTTTCTGTAAAGCTGTTTTGCAACGATTTGCATCGTGAAAAGCGCTAGAATTGAATTAAACTGCATACCTCCCCAGTTATCATTAGTGCTGACAGTCCTGGTGGAGAGGTTATGCAGGATATGCCTGTGTTGATACCCACTAGGATACCCGTTGTCAAAAGAAATGTATGCCTCAGTGCTCAAGATGCACCTGCTTTGACAGAACAAGTCCCTCCTCATTCACCCCGGCTGGTCAGCATCACCCGGGTTCAACAGCGTGGATTAGTCTGACTTGCACTTTCTCTGCCATGTCACAAAAGGACAGCTTAACTCCCCACGTTCACGCTTCCTCTTCAGCAAATACATGTAGGAACACATAAAGACTGCAGTGAGGTTTGCCGCAGTTCTAGCCTCTGGCAAAAACATTTTTTTTTTTGTAAATGCTGAAGAATGTGGGATGGCTGCAGAAAAAATACAGCATGTAGAAATAGCATTTACTTATACTAAACAAGTCCAATACCTTAGAGGAAAAATGGCACAAAAACACCATAAAAGTATCATACATTTTGTCCATATGACTCGTTCACTACATTTTATGTCTTCTAAAGCCATACGATAGCTCTGTCAGAGATACGAACCAAAATTTACATGCTATATACTGATTATATTCCCCACAAGTGAGCTGTAAACCAATGTGACAGGAGTCAGTGAGTTTATCTCAAGAACCAGATCAGTGTAATTGTGAATTAATCATTCGTTCCAATATTGTAAACTATACTATTTGAACTGAACTGAGCTGGACGATGACATCACTGAATCAATGATGAACTGACTTTAACTGAAAGCGTTTACTTGAGCGTTTACTATTGTCCTCTTGCATTATCGACACACTATTTTCCTGTTTAATAATGTAAAGCTGCTTTGACACAATCTGTATTATAAAAAGCACTATATAAATAAAGGTGACTTGACTTGACAAAACCAGAATAACTGATTCATTAAAAAAAAAAAAAAAGATCCAACCAAATACTGATCCATTCACAAGTCGGTGATCACTATTTATTTCATGACCAATAAGTATAGGACAGATGTCAAGATTATAATATTAAGTTTGGAGTTTAATGCAGTCATAAGGACCAATTTTATGACGCTTTCTGCTCCTTTTTGAAGCCTGAAGGCTGTTCATTGAAATATAATGAAAAAGTGCATAGAAGTTCAAAATGTCTCTTTTTATACTTTTTTAATGGTATAAAATAGTTATTTTTCAAATGACTGTTGTTTTTTTCAACTTCCTATGATTCATCAAATATATCATGTCACAGCTTCCACAAAAATATTAAAGGGGTCATATGATGCGATTTCATTTTTTCCTTTCTCTTTGGAGTGTTACAAGCTCTTGGTGCATAAAGAAGATCTGTAAAGTTGTAAAGACTAAAGTCTCAAATCCAAAGAGATATACTTTATAAAAGTTAAGAGTCAGCCACGCCTACCTAAAACTGTGTTTTTTTAACTTTAAACCGCATAAACACATTTCATTACACCAAATACACAAAATAATGTTCTTTTTAGCAGCATCATATGACCCCTTTAAGCAGCACAAGAGTCTTCAAAAATTGATAATGATAAGCATGTTTCTTTAGCATCAAATCAGCATAAAAGAATATAAGACTTCTTTCGAAAAACATTTAAAAACCTTACCGACCCCAAACATTTGAATGAAACTGAACAGTGATTCATGATATCAAGTGTCGCACCTTGACAAAACACAGTCTCCTATTAATCTAGAAGACTGTGGATAAACCTTTCCTGGGCCTCAACCTCCCAACCAACGTGTAGTTCACATCAAATGCCAACATGTGCATAGTCAAGTAAAACACATGCACACCAAAATAAAGAAAACAAAATGAGCTCTGCATGTTTTTCCATGAGGACCCATGCACAGTAGCATTTATTGATTTGCCACATGGTGGGCTGACTAACACAATGCAAGCTCTGTCTGAAGCATTTCTGTCTCACTTCAATCTAACAGTGGCCCAGAGTGACAGGCTTCCCAGTGAGAACAGCTAACACTGAGAGCTTTCAGCTCAGCTGCATTGTAAGATGCTGACCGTGCTGTAAAACTGGAAGGTAGCAATAGTCCTGCGCAACCAGCTGTACAAATGAGCTGTCTGTTTCCACAGTGACCCGACAGAATGATACATCTCCATCACTGGAGCCTGCTGTTCTGCTGTATTCTCACCTTATATTCTTGGTGGACCTGAAATATCTGTAGAGACTAATTTATTGATTTGCCACATGGTGGGCTGACTAACACAATGCAAGCTCTGTCTGAAGCATTTCTGTCTCACTTCAATCTAACAGTGGCCCAGAGTGACAGGCTTCCCAGTGAGAACAGCTAACACTGAGAGCTTTCAGCTCAGCTGCACTGTAAGATGCTGACCGTGCTGTAAAACTGGAAGGTAGCAATAGTCCTGCGCAACCAGCTGTACAAATGAGCTGTCTGTTCCCACAGTGACCCGACAGAAGGATACATCTCCATCACTGGAGCCTGCTGTTCTGCTGTATTCTCACCTTATATTCTTGGTGGACTTGAAATATCTGTAGAGACTAAGACAGCTGGGATTCATAACAAAAAAATCAATGAAGGTTTAAGAACAGCGCTTGACGGTTTAATGGTTACAGCTGGAGGGCAGGCAGATGTAGAAGCACTCAGTCTTAGGTAACATCAGTAGGGAATGTCTGACGATAGTGCACATGGTTACAGAAATGGCATAATATGCTTAACACCTCCTCCCACACTTAACACCATTTCTAAGAGCATGATATAGTAATCTCCACAGGTTAAAAGGACTTTAACACTTATTTAGAGGTTCCTGCATATAACTTATAAGTTAAAAGACTATCATGTTATTCTAATGAAAATATAAAGTAATCACTACACTGATATTTGTAAAATTTATCAAAGTAAGCACAGTAGAGAACTGACTACATGTACAGCACAATAGCGGACTGTGTCTCAAAGCCTAGCTTGCTGCCCAAAAATGCTGTCAAGGTTGGCAGCCCAAAATTTTATTTTTATTTTTGAATTAGTAGGACTGTGTATCCCATAGTTTAACAGCTGTCAAGTCTATCCTTTTCTCTGTTAGGACTATTACTGACATTTACTGCTAACAAACAGCTGAAATTATCACTTTTATTGTGCAAACTGGGGTGTACATATGGCATTATTTATGGCTTCCTATTTTTATTTTTATTATCCCTTCCTGTTTCGATATTCATAATTTCATATTTTCTACATTTTCATAATTCAAAAGCACTATTTTCAACACAATATTTATGCAATTGTGATTCATCTGTAAATGCATTTATATCATATATAATATACATTTATATTTGTGTGGCATTAAACAGTCTCTATAAATGCAGGATGAATAGGATTGTGTCTCCCATTGCTTAACAGCTGTCAAGACTTTCTTATAGACTTTCACTGGCGTTACTACTAACAAACTACTGAAATTATCACGTTTATTGAGTAAACCGTGGTATCTATGGCATAATTTATAGTTTACTGGTCTTACTTAATTCATAATGTCATCAACCAGTTTCAATCAACTGCATATGTAAAACATTATTTTCAAAGCATTATTTCTGCAACTGTAATTTCCATGTAAATGCATTCACACACCACATACTGTACATAAACCTATTTATGTATGTGTGGCATTAAACAGTCTCTGTAAATTCAGGATTAATAGGATTGTGTCTCCCATTGTGTATTAGCTGCCAGGACAATCCTTCTCTCTGAGTAGAAGTCTTAAGGACTGTTACTGACAATTTACTGATGAAATTATCGTTTTGGTGTGCAAACTATTGTGTACATGCTGTAATTTGATCATTTACTATTTTTATTAATAATTTTCATTCATCATCTTAAATTTACATTATTTCACATTATTTTCAAAGCATTTCTGCCACTATAATTTTTACAAAAACGCATTTATACAATATGATTATATAATATAAATATATAGGCTTACACTTTATATTTGGTATTTTGATTTAATGCAAATGCATGGTATATATGCAGCTTCTGCGCAAATGGCACAAGGATTTTAGTCCGCATGTGCTCTATGAAATTTCAGCTGTCAATGACTGTAAACTTACTTGGCTCTAGTGCATAAATTCTAAGTTACATTCAAAAGAACCTGGTATCTGTTGTTCTACAGTAACTACTCACAGAAGGTGCAAACAATACAATGCCGTCGCACTCTTCGGAGTTTCTTGCGTAAAACGCTTCATAAGTTGCGACAGCTACCGCTTTGAACTTTTTAGTGAGTCTGGACTTAACAGAACCTAAATGAGCAAATTAAATGAAGAATGCACGTGTAAACAGACATGAGGGTTTAGGAGTTCAGTACCTCATTAGGACCCTCCTGCAGCACGTCAAGCAGATTTCCTTTAGACAGGGATGCGATCATTCTTCCGACTTCTCATCAAGCTGAGAGGAGTGGAAAATGTGAACGTCCTTAGTCAGCGAGAGCGTTTTAACCGCATATCGGAGGAACTGAGGTAAACAAAGGAAACTACAGAAACTACATTAACCACGGCGATGGCCATATGTGCCTCCCCGTTAGCTCGCTAGACCTGAAACAGGATACGAGGTGTACGCGGATGGGGAGAGAGGTAGTGCGCATGCGTCCGCAGCAGCTGCTCCGCGGTCGTTATGGCGACGCTTGAGCTTATGTCCGCTGCTTTCTGTCTCTAGCTTCCGCGCTGTAAAGTACATTGGTCTGGGACCGTGAAATGCACATTATACCTGTTCTGACTGAAATGACTCATTTGAAGTTAAATTAAACTTCTTGAACGCAAAGCACAGAAGAGGTGCTCTAGCCTGGATATCACACCCTGCAGTCCCTCCTTGTTTAAAACCAACACCACACCACAATGTGTAAAAATCATGATGTGAAATCTGAAATTCTGTACACAGTTTACTCTGGCTTCATTATGTACAGCCCCATTAGACCACATCCTTCCTGCCTGCCTCATGCTTCCTGCTTCTGCCTCGACACTATTTTATATAAAAAACTTATAACAATTAGCTTTTTTCCTATATATATTTACACTGAGTTACAGAACCATTACTATAGAGATAAAAGGCTACCTCTACAATTAGGGCATATTTTGTCTATTATTTTAATCATTTATTTATTTTGAATTAAATGTCTGTGTCTCCCCCTGCTGTAAGAATTGCAACTGAGAGGGAAAAACATGGTTCTAAATAGCCAATAATAATAATAATAATAATAATAATAATGGCATTTGGATTGTAATAATGGATTTTATTACATTTTAAAAATAGATTTTATTAAATGTTTTAAATCTTAAAGTTTTTTTAAAATGATGAATGAAAATGATAAAAGATCAGCACATTTTTTAAAAACAGCACATTATCAGTTATATAATATATACCACAAATTGCACAACAAAAAATATATTTTCATTTTAAATTATAAAAAGCCACAGGCTTGGTAGAGCTCATTTATTTAACTATACAAAATATTTGTTTTATGTTTGGGCTGCCCACTAATAAGATTTCAAAAATTATAATAAAGACTTTTTAAATGATAATAATAATAATAATAACAACAACAATAATGCATTTATTATTATTATTATTTTAAAAGTATTTATTCTAATTTTTGAAACCTTATTAGTGGGATTAAAACATTTAATACATTTCAAAGCATTATTTCTACAATTGTAATGCCTGTGTAAATACATTTATAATATATACCTATATTTGTGTGGTATTAAGCAGACTTTAAATAAATGCATGGTATATATGCAGCTTCTGTGTAGTATACATATGGCACAAAGATCATAATCATTTATTTAAAAAGTATTTATTATAACGTTTTATTAAAAGCATGATAATAGCAGATAATCTAAACAATAAATAATTTGTAGACAGTTAAATGAGCAATACTGAGTCTACTGGTAAGATTTTAATTATTTCTTTTATTGTGCAAACTGTGTAATTTATAGTTTACTGTGGCTTTTTCTAAGATATTTAACAGTGGCTCATCTCAATAATTAGTTCCATGTGCCTTTACAATTCAAATCTTCAGAGACCTTATAAAAATGCACAGTGTGGCTCATATATAGCACAAATTATTTCATTTATTCACATTTCTATCACACTTCAAGCTGAAAGCCTTTAGGATTACACCGGTCTTCAACTCCTGAGGTTTTTATGTGATCATCATACTTACAGATTTCTCCACAGATGGTGAATGCAGCATCTTGCTGATCTACGAAGTGATCAACATTTCAGTGGTTTTGATTTGTTCATTATGTTACGAACCAGTTGATGATGGAAAATCAGCCAAGCCTCTCCCAGAGATTTTCATCCCTTACACTTCAAGACTTTAGTGTTTACTTAAACGGCTGACTCCGACTGATCATCGCTCACAAGGCGAGAAGAATTTTTACAATTTACGGACAAGCGGGCTTGTTAAACACGTTCTCAGCAGCAGCCTCTGAACGTTAAAACTAGCGTTAGCATTCATAACATTACCAGAAATCAGTTCTTAAAGTTTAGCGGTCTACCTTAGGTTTCTCCCGCTTTCTTGACGATATCATTAGTAAGTTTGGTAATCCACCTTCATGTAAATATAGTTATAAATTTCCACCAGTAGAAAGTAAATCATAGCAGCAGACTTCTGAATCTGCAGCGGTCATAGTTTCTATGGTTACCAGAAACAGAAGCACGTGCGCTAAACAGCCATTGGTTTAAATAGTTTTTCTGATTTGACTTTAAAGTGGCTGCAAAATTAATAGTGTAAGTGTTTTGAATGATCACTGTCGAGATGAAAGTCTAACTTTACCGTGTTGTATGATTTTATTTTATTGTTTTGTATTAGTGGCCCGTGTCTCCCCCTGCTGTAAAAGCTGCAAACTGTAATGAAGTCAGAAAACACAAATTTCTATAATCAAAACCGAATAGTTATTAAAATAAATCCCAAGTGACACATGTTTAGCTGTTGTAGGTTTGTTTATTAATACTAAAAAAACAAAACAAATATCTGCACAAGAACAACCATATATAGTAACAAAATTTAAAAATATATAAATTTATCAATAATTATAAACCTTATCACCTTCCAATGTAGTGTTTTACAGGAATACAGCATTTAGCACATCAGGCTCACTGCATATTAAAGACAATATTGGCAATCTGACATGCTAGTTATATGATAAATGTTTACTACATCCGAAACAGCTTTTGAGTTATCAGTTTGATTCGATTATATTTCATACAGTTCAAAATAAAGTCAGAGTCGCAAAGAATCTAAAAACAAACAGAACCGAACAATTTACAAAACAATACACAAAAGTTAATACAAAATCCAGTGTCTCCTCTCAACCTGGAAAAGTTCATTCAGGCATTTCTAAGCACCTTTCAATAATCTTTTTCTTTGCTCATGCATGCAGAGCTCTTATTTTTCCCCCTCATAATCTTGTTTTTTTTTCGCCATAAGTCTAGATGCACATCCAATGTTTTACTTTTTTTTCTCTTTGCACACAATTTCTCAGTGCTGCATTCAATGAAGATATATTTGCAAAGACACTTTAGCTTCCAAATAATGCTATATTTCTTTTTTTCACACTTGTAAGTTTTAATTGAGCTTTAGATCATATTTATTTTCACTAAATTTCTGTAGATATTTAAATCTTCAAACCGCAACACAACCTACTGATATTTCAAGGGATATAACTCCACTTGGCACATACACACACACACATATTTGGGCACCTTTGCTATTACATAAATAACATAAATTACTTGGATTCTGACTTAACATGTAAATCTCATTTTGCCCATTTATTTGTTTTTTAACTAGAGCTGTTAAAGCACAAAATGAAAGCTCCAAGCACCGCAGAACTGAGCAGAAATTTACACCCATCGCTTAATTTTTTTGCGACGCACCTGTTCATCATCAACTTTTTAATATATTGTGGGGAGGTTATGGACGTTCATGCTGGGTTTGGACTGACTAGACATTTGCAATGACCAGTGAAACAAAGACAGTGAGTAATTGAGATCTTTTAGGTTTTATCATGTGGCTGTTTGATTGATAAATATGCAAATACATAAAACACAAAGCTATCAAAATATAGAGTATGTACAGGTTGCATATCCTGTCCAAAGTCTCCTATAATAAGTGAGAAAATCCAAAAGATTGAACTTTTTAAGCCAGATATCTTGTTTAGAAGATCATCTGTGTTTTAAAGATGGGATAATGGTTCAGAAAGATCTCAGTGTCATCTACATTCAGCTCAAGAAAGCAAGGAATCAGAGATATGCATCGGACGAAGATTTCAAATGAAAACATTCCTATATAACCACAATTATGATACATTCGTACACTTGCGATTTTCAATCATACTTTTTTTTTATAATTAAAACATCGTACCTCCATAAGTGTGAGCCTTCAAGTTTAAAACTGAGAGATTTCAATAATTTTTTGAAAAAATGTACAGTTATGATTGGCTTTATCACTCCATCTCCATGAAAACTTTTTATTAGGTTAACACACTTTATCATACAACAATAAATGTAGGCAGTAATGAGCACCTTGTGACTAACACGGACTTGTTAGTAATACTAGTAATGGTGGAGAACTAGCCACCAGTGTAATAAAAGAAAGAATGTACTGAAGCAAAAGTCAAGCCAGAAAAGGTTTCTTGGCAGTTTGGAAGTACTGGTTCTGCCTAAAATATGGAGTCAAGACCAAAGCGTGAGATAGTGGAATGGTTTGTGATCTCTAAGTGCACAGAGCCTGGAAAATAGCACCTACTCACTAGAAACAAGTACCAATACTGGTAGAGTGCGTAATAATTTAAAAGAATAGATCACCCAAAAATGAAAATTTGCTGAAAATGTATTTATCCTCAGGCCATGCAAGATGTAGATGAATTTGTCTCATCATAGAAACAGATTTGGAGAAATTTATCATTACATCACTTGCTCACCAATGGATCCTCTGCAGTGAATGGGTGCCGTCAGAACGAGAGTTCAAACGGCTGATTAAAACATAACAATAATTCACAACACAAATCGAGTCGCTCAGTTAACATCTTGTGAAGAAAAGTTGCGTGTTTGTAAGAAACAAATCCATCATTAAGGCGTTTTAACTGTAAACCATTGCTTCTGGTCAAAACATGAGTCTATAATCCATAATTACTGAGATGCTTTTATCAGCTGTTTGAACTCTCATTCTGACGGCACCCATTCACTGCAGAGGATCCATTGGTGAGCAAGTGATGTCATTTCTCCAAATCGGTTCTGATGAAGAAACAAACTCATCTACATCTTGGATGGCCTAAGGGTCAGCAAATTTTCATTTTTGGGTTAACTATTTCTTTAACCAAGAGTGGACTGACCCCTGAAGTGGTCACATTATAGTGGTGATTTAACTGCAATGGTGAACTACTGTACAGACTTAAACACAGAAACAACATGAGAATCAGTGCTCCAAATAAAAATTAAAGTCAACCATCATACCCTGTTTTCACATCCCAAGTGTATTCCACCTATTTAAATGTGTTCTTTATACAGACAGACA